ATGTCTGTAGGAACTATAGTGATGTTTGTACTTGCATTAGTTTTCTATAGCTGCTGCAATAAATCACAACAAACTTAGTAGCTTTAAATAACAAAACTTACATTCTTATTGTTCAGGTGATCAGAACTCAAGAATGTGCATTCTGTAGTTGTGTGATATAATCTATAAATATCAACTAGATTATATGGGTTGATAGTGTAGCTTAAATCTCTATTCTTACTGATTTTTTCTGTTTATTCTATTAATTATTGAGAAAGGAGTCTTGAAATTCCCAGTTGTCATTGTTTGTCTGTTATTCCTTTCAGTTCTATTTTGTAACCATGTGTTTGGATTTCTATTATTAGGTACATCTGTATTTCAGATTTATATGTTCTTGTTGATGAATTAACCATTTTATTATTTTAATATGTCCTTATTTGCTTATAGTAATAGTCATTATCTTGAGATTTTATTTAATATTAAATAAATATTTAATTTAAATAAATATAAAATTAAATAAAGCCTGAGATTTATTTTATTTAATATTAATACATCCAATTAAGCTTTTTATGATTGGTGTTTTATACCATTTTATCTTTCACTATTTATGTCTTTATATTTAACATGGGGTAGCATGTACTTGAATCTTGCTTTTTAATTAAGATTGATAATCTTTGGGCGCCTGGGTGGCTCAGATGGTTAAGCGACTGCCTTCGGCTCAGGTCATGATCCTCAAGTCCCAGGATTGAGTCCCCCATCGGGCTCCCTGCTCAGCAGGGAGTCTGCTTCTCCCTCTGACCCTCTTCCCTCTCGTGCTCTCTATCTCTCATTCTCTCTCTCTCAAATAAATAAATAAAATCTTAAAAAAAGATTGATAAGCTTTGCTTTTTATCGGTATGTTTAGTCCATTTATACCTAATGAAAGTATTGATATAGTTGTATTTAAGTTTTCCATCTATTTTCCATCTCTTCTTTGTATTTTATCCCTCTTTTCCCACTTTTTTCCTAGCTAATTGAGTATATTATAATGTTCTTTTATCTATTCTGTTGGATTAATATCTATGCTTGTTTCATTTTTGATAATTGCTCAAGAGTTTGCATTGGACATATTTAGCTAGCAGCATCTATGTTCAAATAATATTATACCGCTTCATGTATAACATAGGATAAATTTTACAACAGGAAAATTCCCCTTTCCTTCTTCCTGTTCTTTGTGATATTATTGTATACTTTATTTTTGCATGCTATAAATTATTATGTTTAAACAAAAACATCTAAATATTTTAAAGGAAATGAAAATGATAATAAGGTGTATCTTATCTTTAGCCATAAATTTATCATATCAAGAGATCTTCATTCCTCTTGTAGATCAATTTACATGGAATTATTTTCTTTTAGCTTCAAGAACATTCTTTAAAATTTACTGTAGTAAAATCTAGCTGGTGATTCTCTAAATCTTTACTTGTCTAAAAATGTATTTATTTCACCTCCATTTTTGAAGAGGGTATTTTGCTGGTTATAGAATCCTAGACTGACAAATGTTCCTCCACCCTCTCCTTTCAGCACTTTAAAGATACTGTTCCATTCTGTTCTGGTTTGAGTTGTTTCTGGTGAGTAGCCTAAAGTTTTCCTACTTGGTCCTCTCGATGTAACAAGTCAAATTTCTCTGGTTACTTTTAATATTTTATTATTAGTTTTTAACAATTTAATTAGAATGTGCCATGGCATGGTTTTTCTTTGTCCTTATTTTTTGAGGGTTTCGTTGGTCATTTTGATATGTAGATTTATATTTTCCTTCACATTTGGAAAATTTCCAATCATTATTTTTCAAATATATTTTTCCCTCCCCCTCTTTCTGAGACTCTAACTATGTATATGTTGGAGTTCGACATTTTCCCAAGTTCAGTGAGGCACTGTTTACTGTTTTTCCCTTTTACCTCTCCATGAAAATATCTGAATAATCCTGTAATTATGTCCTCTTTATCTGTGGCACATGTTTCTTTCCTCTCTGACTCATTCCCATCAGCATGTAAGCTTCTCTTGTCCCATGTCCCATGTTCTCTTCAACTTCCTCTCCATTTTTCTGCCTCCCATCATAGCAATGTTTCTGAAAATAATCATACATATTTCCTTGAATTCCCACACATTTATTCACCTCCCTTTCCATTCACTAGCCCTACTAATCAGACATTCACTGCAACCACAGAACTCTCATGGTCATAAACAATGTGCATCTCCCTAAACCCAATGACCAATTCTTGGATTTCCTTTTTCTATTTCCAGTGAGATTTTATATACATTATTACCTGCATTTCTTGATATATTTCCTAATTTGCTTCCAGTACCCCACAGTCTGCTGGACTTCCTCTTACTTCACTGGCTTTTCCTTTTCCCTCTCTGTTTCCTTTGCTGATTCCTGGAACCTCAAATCCTGGAATGCCTTGGGTCTGGACCCTCTTGTTCCTCCCTCATCATTGTTTCCTATGTCACACTGCCACTCTGTTTCTTCTCCACTTCTGTTAAAGACTTCTATTTACCTTATTAAGCAACACATGTGCTTCCTCTCATTGGCAACATTCACTTTATAAACATGTTTTGTTTGTTTTGCCTCCAAAAGATATTGCAAATTCAACTCCTTGTCATTACTTTAACCATTACCTCCAAAGATGGCTATTTAATTAGTATGGGCTGCAACCTAGACATTAAGAATTTTAAAGCTTCCCATGTAATTCTAATGTGTGACAAAATTTGAGAACCACCAATAGGTGATTTTTGCGGGGAGGAGGAGAAAGTAATACCCTGGCAATATGAAAGATGGATCTACTCCCACGGATTGTGTTTTAATTGGGCTTAGCTAGGGCCAGAAAATGTTATCAGTGTTTTCTTAAATCTGTTAAGATGTCTAGATTGAGGATTACTGTCCCACATCATCTTGTCCTTGACTACGTCTCCAACCACTGACCTGCTTGTGAAACACATTCCCTTTCTCAGAATTATCTTATCTCATTGGTGATTTGATGTTAATTTCACAGAAGTTTATTTGACATATTTGAAGAACAACCATATGGAGCCACTAATCAGACTGTGATCAACCACATCATCTCAGATGGAGGCTCAACTTCAGTTCATCTGACCTTTGCCCTTGGTCAAAAAAATCCTGTTACCTTCCCTGCAAGGGCAAGTGATGCAAACAGCATGCGTGTACACTTTTGTCTAACATTCCGTTCTCTGACTTGCATCTTTCAGAGCAGATTATTCAGGAGACAGGCTGATGTACTGCTTTGCCCTTCACAAATAATAGTAAGAGTCAATTCCTCATGAAAGAAAACATTTGGGAAATGGATACCACATTGGCTTCCATTTTTATTTATCTTCAAAAACTGAGAAATAAATTCATGTGTTCCTATTCTTATACTCAAAAGCACAAGGTAGAAAGAGAAAAAACTGTCACTTGTATTTTTAGTTCGTATGTGACTGAAAATATATTTTCTTACTCAGGGAAAATTGTTTTTTACAAATATAAATTTGGTTTCTTCATATAAACTCTAAGTAGCTTCAGTCTCTTTTGTTGGGAAGTACATAGAAAGTACATTACTCTTCAGCCAGAAAGGAAGGAAAGATGTCATGAGGACAAGGTCCAAAGACTAAGGAAGGACATAGGAATCTTTTGCTCAAGAAAGAACCTGCTCAGATCTATCAACTATCTGGAAAATAATGGAAATCAACCTCTCCCAACAATTACTCTGAGAGCCCAATATTTGGAGATTTTAAAATGCAAATAATCAACATTAATGTAAGTCTTTAATTTCATATAGTTGCTTTTGCAATACAGGTAAGAACTATACTAGGACATGAATGCATATAGCTCTTGGAGAATCATAAAATCACATGTCTGTGCCCAACAGACTTTACAGAATACTAGCTGCTCATTTTGCAGATGAGGAGTAGAGCCTTCATGGGAATTTGGTGACCAGAATACAGATTTGAAACAAGACAAATGCTTACATTTTAGATGCATTGAGTCCCCTGCCAATATTTTCTACAAGCTAGACCACTCTATTATAATTTCTAAATACATATTATTCCACTTTAATTTAATAAATGTTGTTATAGCCTCCTAAATTAATGAGAGGTCTAATGCTAAACAGAAGAGAGGAGCAAAACATATTTCTAAACTGAAACTACACATTTCTAAAACTAAAACAAAAAAAATACAAGAAGCTACTATTTGCTATGTGTCAACTGTACTTCACTAAAACAAATAATAAAAACAAAGAAATTACTATTTTATGAATCTTTAGAAAAAGTGTGATCTGACAAAAAAATATTTGACATTTTTAAAGCCATCATTCTAAAAAATAATATTATATTTTTCTCGGGTTTGTTTCTTTTACTAACCAGAATCATGCTGTATGTATTGTTCTTTGATGTGCTTGTTGGAGATGTTCTCAGCCTAGCACACTCCTTTTACCCACTATATATTCCACAGAATTAGTGTTACTGTTTGGGTTGCTTCATTCTGCTATTATAATTATGCCCACTTTTGTGCACAAACTTGAGTACGGGGTGTTATATGCAACTGATGAATCACTGGACTCTACCTCTGAAACTAAGAATACACTATATGTTAGTTAATTGAATTTTAAAAAAGGAACCCCTCCCTCAAATAATAATATTATAAATAGTGCTAAATAGAGTAAATACAATAAAGCAGGAGCTCATGGACTTTTGGGGCCAATGCAGGAAAAGCCTAGTTCATTCATTAAATCCTACTCCCACCTCCTTCTACACACTTTCTTAGCTGCTAATTATTTGGAGCTTCATATTTTAGGTAAATAAAACCTTGGTTTGGTGTTAGTGAAGTTTGTGGTTGGTCTCTATGGTTGCAGGTTTTATTTTAATGGAATCACAGCAAATTCTATGAATTCTAATTTTTTCATATTATTTCAAGTGAACACTCTCTGTAAGCATTGTTGAATCTGACTGCATCGATGCTGCGCATCTTATGTCCCTGTCTTTACCTCTCACAATCAGCTGGCTTTGGTGCTCCACCGCCGCGGCCTCATTCCGGGCAATACAGGTGTAATTCCCATTGTGCATCAGGGAGAGATTGGAAATCCGTAAGGAGCTCGTGAAGTCAATGTTGTCGATGGTCACCCCAAGGCTCGCTGGGATTGGCCGGCCGTCCTTCTGCCAAGTGATCGTGATGGGCAAGTCCCCTGAGACCACAACACATGGGATAAAGACCCGCTGTCCAATGGAGAATCTTGGAAACTCAAAAGGTTGAATAAAAGGTGGAACTGCAAGAAAGAAGAGAAGATGTAAAAGAGGAAAGATGGTAAACTGTGCACATGATGTCCATTCTCTTTTCCTTCAACCCTCCTGTGTGACATTGAAAGAGGAATACAGTCACTGCTCCAGCATGTAAATACATGAACTAGGAGAAGAGTTGAAATTGTGCTATCCTGCTCTTGATTTTTCTCACCGTTCTAAATGAAAATCATGGCTTAATTTGTACCTCAGCAAACATATTTAATTTATTTCAATAGACTTCTAAGAAAATATTCATTTTTGAATGAAAATATTTCTGACTCTGCACTCTTCATGTAAATACTGTGAAAGAGGCATTTGGGTTTGGGTTTCCCTTAGAAGCTTTTGAAAATGATGTGTACAAGAAAAGATTTCTTTCCTGCTTTGCTAATACTAGCACAATCATTACTATTCCCCCTTTAATGCATTCCATGCCTTGTTAATAGGTGTACTTTAAGCATGTTCAAGAAGAGATTCTGGGTGCCTGGGTGGCTCAGTTGGTTAAGCGACTGCCTTCGGCTCAGGTCATGATCCTGGAGTCCCGGGATGGAGTCCCGGGATGGAGTCCCGCATCAGGCTCCCCGCTCAGCGGGGAATCTGCTTCTCCCTCTGACCCTCTTCCCTCTCGTGCTCTCTATCTCTCATTCTCTCTCTCTCAAATAAATAAATAAAATCTTTTTTTTTAAAAAAAAAGAGATTCTAATTTCATTGTTAAACATTTTTTTAGGACTAACGTCCAACAAATAGCAAATGTTAACAAAAGAGACTTATTTTATTTTAGGATAATCACATCTTTACTCTGTACTCCTCAATTTTACACATTCCATGTGCGTGACCTTAAATGATGAACTGATCTGTGGCCAGTTTTCTGAGGTGTTATGTGTTGCTAATGAGGACAGGTTTACAGCCTTCAACCTGGCCAGCCATGGACATAGCCAAGCTCAGTCTGGAAAGCTCTTTTCTGATTTAACTTCCCTGATAAACCCCTCTTTACCTTCTCGCCTCAGGTCCACTCTTCCTCAGGAACTTCCTGGATGGTCTCACAGGATTTCAGAGTCATAAAATGCTTAAAATGGAGCCAGAGAAGCCAACTTTGAATCCTACCTTGGGTACTTATGGGTTGTGGAATCATGAGCAAGTGATCAATATGCTCTTCCTATCAGCCCTATGGGGTTGTTATGCATAGTCTCACTTTGTAGATGGGGAAACTGATTCTGAAAGATATGATTTTGCCCTTGGCCACAAAACTAGTTCACTAAAGAGTGAGAGCTCAGACCTTACCAATTTTATTTCAGAAACTTGGAAATATGCAAGGTTGTCACTGAGATTATTAAGTATGCAATAACTTAATATGAACCAGTTATTATACCAGATAATTTCATAGAATGAAATTATTAAATAGTAGGATATCTGCAGATTTTGTTCACTAATCAATTATAGGTACATTTCAGTTATCAGCTTGGGGGAGATGTAAGAGATCAATCTGGGAAACATCTGAATGGAAACCATTCACTGAGCTCCTGGTATGTGCTTGGCGACACTGTGTGTGCTGGGCACACAGCAATGAACATAATACACCAGCCTCTGTCTGGTGGAGCTTTCATATGTAGTCATAGGCAGCAGAGGTCAACAGAGCAGAGCTGTGGCTATTCTGCTATTTAATATTATTATTATTACTACTATATGCTTTCAAAAGCATTTGGGAGTGAGAATGCAGAACTACAAATATAGCCAGAGTTAGAAGGACTAGTGAACGGATGGCTCAAGGTAGGTCTTACCAGAGAAACAAACAAACAAAAACAGCTTAAGGTGCCAGTGCATTTAATGTCAAAAATGCTGACAGTTGATAGTTTGCTGATTCTCATGGACAGTTAGAGCTTTGAATCTGCAGTGAGTTGATCTGACACTAGGATAAAAAGATCTCAGGATGAGGTTCTACCTGGGGCTGGTAGAAAAGATCAGGTTGGATTAGGCTATGATTATTCACAATTGATATTAGGCAGGAAGAGTGCCAACTTGTAGCAAAGGTACTCTATTTCTCTAAATGTTGCCCCAAATGGAATAAATATTTACTATTGGTGTATATATTATTTTTTTTTTAAGATTTTATTTATTTATTCATGAGAGTCAGAGGGAGAGAGAGAGAGAGAGAAGCAGAGGGAGAAGCAGGCTCCCAAGGAGCAGGGAGCCTGATGCGGGACTCGATCCCAGCACTCTGGGATCACGACCTGAGCCGAAGGCAGACGCCTAACCATCTGAGCCACCCAGGCGCCCCAGCATTGAAAAATGATGAATAACTTGAGAATTCATGAGAATTTCTGTATTTAATAATTAGTCACCTCCGACCGAGGAGGAAGCCAGGTTACTTTTCCCCCGGTTGAGGGCAGTAACGTGTTTACACAGAACACTTGGTAATAAAATTGAGTAGTTTTCTGATGAACCCAAACTAACTTGCATCTCTCATATTTAAAGAAAAGCTATTTGAGTCATCATGGCATCAAGAAAATGAAACCTACTAAGTCAGAGAGGGAGACAAAACATGAGAGCCTCTTAACTCTAGGGAACAATGTGAGGGTTGCTGGAGGGGAGGTGGGGGGGGATGGGGTAACTGGGTGATGGGCATTGAGGAGGGCATGTGATGTAATGAGCACTGGGTGTTCTATGTAAGACTGATGAATCACTGACCTATACCTCTGAAACTAATGATACACTATATGTTAACTATTTGAATTTAAATAAAATAAGTTTAGAAAAAAAGAAAATGAAACCTAGCTCGTGTTTTACTAATCCAGGTGGAGAAAAGACTCATCCAGATGGCTTGCAATTATTTTACTTGTGTTTATATAGATGAGAGCAAAGCCAGGTGACTCTAACCAGAGAGGATGACAGCGAGGCTACATGACAGGGGTAGGCGAGATTCATAAAAGCACTGGCATTCATTTTGAAACTTAGCTCCCTTTCCCAAGCAGCTTTTCTACAAGGGTTGTCAGTAATAACAGGTTATTTACTTGAGAAGTATTTTCCATGACACTGACTTAGAGAAGGTCATTCTTCTTTAGAAGCTTGGGGAGCCCCATCCGCATCAGGCTCCACACTGGGTGTGCAGCCTGCTTGGGATTCTCTCTCCCTCCCTCTAAACAAAATGCTGAAATATGTCATAGTGAAACAAGGGGATAAAAAGGTAGCTACACCATTTCAATGAAGCTCTAAGTCAATCCAATTACTTTCATAAATTTCAGGGCACTGAATTAGTGATATAATGAAGGAGCAGTATTGTTAAATGCCTAGAAATAGACAAATAGCATACTTGTCCCTCTGTATTCCATCCACACAATAGTCACATCAGCATAAATTTTCAGCTGACTCTCCAGACAGTTAGGACAGCTGTGTGTCAGTGGACCACTCTCTGCAACTTTGTTTCAATGTCTTCATGGTGAGAACTCAGACTAGGTGGGTTTCAGCAGTAACAGGTTCTGAGTCTGAGTGAATGATACAGAGTGAAATCCTCCAGGTATTGTCATCACTCCTAGACAACGTGAAAAATGCTAGTCTGAAGAACCAAGGTATTTTGTTCCCATGCCTAGATTAATACACTTAACAAGCAACTCATTCTTTCTTGAATAAATTAACAAACTCTGTGACTGAATTGAATAATTAGGACAAAGAACTTCATGTGTGTGAAACTATGATTGCAGCATATTTATGACCATTTAATATAAACAGATCATATTGTAAATCTAACTACCGGTACTTGAGTGAGTCTATCTGGTACAGAGTAAAGGCAGAGAACAGGAAATAGTAAATAGAAAATATGGGACTACTGATAGAACTAAAATCTAAAATAACTTTGATATAAGATTAAACACATAGGTGTTAAATAGATGTCAAAAGTCACTCACACACACACACACCATTAAAAATTGGATCCATGCAGGGGCACCTGGGTGGCTCAGTTGGTTAAGCGACTGCCTTCGGCTCAGGTCATGATCCCAAGGTCCTGGGATCGAGCCCCACATCAGGCTCCCTGCTTGGCCAGAAGCCTGCCTCTCCCTCTCCCACTCCCCCTGCTTGTGTTCCCTCTCACGCTGTCTCTCTCTCTCTCTCTCTCTGTTAATTAAATAAATAAATAAAATCTATAAAAAAAAATTGGATCCATGCAACATCATAAAACAAAAGGCTACAGAAAAGCAGGAGTTGAAGAAATGGGGAAAAAATCTACCAGGAAAATGTGAAACAAAGAAGGCAGAAAGAATAACTTTTCCATCATATAACTCAAGATAAAAAATCAGAGATTATGGCCGAAAATATGTAAATCAACAACTACATTTAGTAATACTAACACCTGTTTGATAACTGATCAATAAAGGGAATAAAAAAACAAACCTAGAGATGAGCCATAACACAATTATTAAATTTAATTGAACACATACAGACAGATTTTTGTCAACAAATATAAGAAAAAAACATTTTTTTAAAGATTTTATTTATTTATTTATTTGACAGAGAGAGAGAGAGAGAGAGCACACAAGCAGGGTGAGAGGCAGAGGGAGAGGGAGAAGCAGGCTCCCTGCTCAGCAGGGAGCCTGATGTGGGACCCGATCCCAGGATGCTGGGATGACCTGAGCCAAAGGCAGACGCCTAATGACCGAGCCACCCAGGAGTCCCGAGAAAAAACATTTTTTTAAATAGATAAAACATCCATAGAGAAAGCTTCAGTACATTTCACAGAACTAGAATCATCTCTGAAGACACCACTGTAGTATCTTGGTGGACGAAGAAGAGTGGGAAGTATGGGTCATTTAATAAATGATATTAGGAAGACTGGCTCACTATATAAAGAAAGAAGAAATTGATGCCTACTTGTACTGTATCTACAACCCTCGATGTGGATGGAAGACCTAAATGTAGACAGTGGAAATATAAACACAGAGTGAATACAGAAAATAATGTAGAAATAGACCTTCCAGGAGCTCAGAGACTTCTTAATCAA